ACATTTTTCACCGGATTTGGTTTAAATTTGGTATTTGAAGTTCGTAACGGATGCAACAGACTATGACAGAAAATTGTCTGTGCAAGTCCACGTCTTGATTAAGCCCCCATATAACGGTACCTCCCGATCTTAGCAATATTTTTCACCGGAATTTTTTATTAAAATTTCACATTTGAATATTGTAATGGTTTATGACAAAAATTGCATATGTAGGTCGACGTCTTCGTAAAGACCCTAATATAACGGCTACGTTCAATATTTTTAAGATTTTAACAGAATTTTTAACGGATTTTATTTTTTTGAAAATTGCCAAAATCGTTTCATATGGTGGAGGGTATTCAAAGATCGGCCCGGCCGAACTTACGGTGTTTTTACATGTTTTTTTATATGACCTAAAATTTAAAATTAAAATTTTCGGCCTATATACACATATTTTGAATTAATTTTAAATACAGTTTCTTTCTCTTAAGTTTCTTTTTTCTTAAATATTCGTCTTGGAAAATTAAACTTTTTTAATAAATCCTTCTAATCGAAATGGATTTACAAGGACATTTTTCTGATATAGGGGTTGTAACCAAGTTTGCGAATTTTAATTTTAAAATAATCCCGTGGAATATCGAATATCGGGTACAGCTACAGGAAATTGTGGACCTATAACTAGATTGTTTTGAGAAGATATAATCTACCTACTAAGTAATCGAAATATCAATCTTCAGTTAATTTGGAGATCAAACCCTTTAAAATGCGGAATATCGGAAGTTACCGCTATATGGAGGTTATAGCTTAACGTGGTCCGACATAGCTAAATTTCAATTCAAAACATCTTAGGACTACAAACGCCTAGGCCAAATTAATTCATTTATTTATCTAAGACACTGTAACCTCCATTTTGAGTTCAACAGACAGACGGACATCGTCAAATCAACTTGGTATTTTATGCTGATCATGAATAAATATTTTTATGGGGTATACAAGGTATTTGAGCCCTCAATTACTAATAGGGTAAGAGTACCAGTAGTCGGCACTTTTAGGATTTTCGATTTTTCAATCCTTTAACATTCTGAGTGAAATCTTTAAATTGCAGAAAAATAAAGTTGTTCAGATACCAGCTTTTGTTTACTTTTCGAAATAATAAACAAAAATTGAAATTGTTTTTATTAAATTGGAAAAAATTGCAATTTTACTAAACTAGTAGCTTTTTACCAGTAATCGGCATCATTTTCCAATGCTCGGCATGTCTATTTGCCAGAAGTCGGCATATGGTATTTCAGTAAAAAAAATATTATTATTTGTATATTTTTTGTATTTCAAATAGGATAAAACAATGTTATATTACTAATTAACAGTTTAATCCAGAATTAATTTCGTTTTGAAATAGTGTTTTATTCAATTAACATTCTAACCAAATATAGGTAGAAAATCAAGAATAGTATATTTACCTTCAGTAACGTATGGATTTTCAATTAAAATAAAAATGAGATTAAATAAAAAATAAGAAGTACCTTTCTTATATTTGGAATTTGTGAACTGTTCTTTTTCCTTTATATAGCCAAGATTTTTTTTTTCAAAAATGCCACCGCTATCTAAAACGTCAAATAGCTGATTTTAAAAAAGGCTGGTCAAAAAGTACAAATAAAAGCAACTGCCGACTAAAAACTATTTTTTATTTGAGTAGTTTTTGGATTATTTTTAAATACTTTTCTCAAGTTTTGATGAAATTGGTCAAAAATTATATTTTTCTAGTAATCGGCAGCCCCTGCCGACTACTGGCAAATCTCTTTTTTTCTGTTCCTAATGTCGGCATTAAATAATATAACAGAAAAATGCTTGATTTGTATGTTTTTAACTTATAAAATGATCTCTAGACTGTTATTTGCTATTATAAAATATTTCTGATTTCAAAAATATTATATTTAATATACTTAAATCGATTATTAAGTTGACGTCACTACTAATTTTTTCTTTACAAAAGAGTACTATCGCACGCATTGGAAGACACTCACTGTATTCTCTCATAATAAATGATCGGAGTTCATTGTTTTTTTTTTTTTTTTTTACAGAAAGAGAGCAGAGAACACTGTTAACGTTTTTTGCAATTATTTTATTATTTGGTCAATTCTAGTCTTAGTTATTTAAGTTTAAATTTCAAAACTGCCGACTACTGGGACATGCCGAACTTAGGCGTACTTACCCTATATCACAATTGCTCTGGAAACTCCTTCTGTTTTATAGAAGTGTGTATTTTACACCCACAACATTTGTTACATGTTATTGAGTTGCCAAACACACCTATTGAAAGATTGCATCAATGCCGCTATTTGCCTCCAGGGGTCGCTCATAATGCGATATTCAAATATGAAACTTAAAACAATTACGGTGAATAATGTCGTGTTGGATTACAATTGTGGTTAAAACACACAAAAAACCTTAAACCTGGCAATACAATCATATGGGATATATCTATATTGTCCATATTCAATACCAAAAGTCCTGCAGAATTTTATGCTGATCATATTTTGGTATATTACATTTGGTGTCAAAATGGATATATGTACATACATTCAAATTCTCTTGTTACCTCCCCCATAGAAGTCTTGCAAAAGTAAAGTAAAAAGTTTCAGTCGTTCTCCCGTCAAATGAGTACCCTAAGCATTCTACCTAATATTTATGTATACCCAACGATTGTACCTACATTTCCTATCTTTACAATATATCTATAGTTAGTACTAATATTTCAATGTTCTAAGGTTATGATTACACCGTTTAAAAAATAATAACTGAAGAAAACCCTGTGGATTATTAAAATAAAGCTACCAATAGAAGATATGTTTATTGGCTTTTTGAAAATTTTTGAAAAATAGACAAGGCAAGGTTTTTTTAAGATTCTTCAAAATGTTTGTTTTGTTACTGTTGAAGATTACGTCAGTTTATTGTTGAAGTCTGGAGTATTCCCTCATTTGCTAGACTCTATTACTGACAGCAACATTTTTCAAAACGAAACTGACGGATTTGCAATATTTGTTCATTATTTCATCCCGGCGTAGTTAAATCATTGGGGGAATATTTCAGAACTAAGCAATCGATTTTACCAGATGTTTGCTTGTTTAGGGGAAAGGTACAAGAAGAAATGGAACAATGTTGCCCATTAAGTGCCAAGTTTAAACAATATCGGGTACTAATTTTGTGTAAAATGAGACTCCTACTTTTTCCAAAATTATGAATTATTATGACCAGAAAGTGGGGATAGATACTACCTATCTCTGAACTCAATCTAAATTTGCCAAAAATATTAAAATGTGCCAATTTTGGACCAAATCGCATATTCCATTTGTATATGCAGAAAAATGGACGGATATGGCCAGAATGATTCCTAATATGAATGATTCCACAACAGCAACTTGCGACGATAGCAAAGAGAACAGCGTGGCCCTGACGACTGTTCACAATCAAAAAGAAATCCACTTTGCACCATAGGTCCCGCTTAGGCAGATATGACCCATTTTCTAGCTTTTGTATCCACGAAATAATAACTTATTGTACAATTTTGATATAATATCGTTAAACAGAATATTTTTTCAACAAATTAGAAATCCGATTCTCTCATTTGATTTTTGATATGTCCATTTTATATTGATTTGATTCAAATTTCCGTCAAAAATGACTCAATATCAAATGTTGGAGTTAAAACTTAGTGCATTTTTGTAAACTAAAATCAGCATACAGAAATGTATTTCCATGGACATTTTTACGATATTGAATGCAAGAATTGGGGCTCAGATTCCCCCATTTTTATAGCACCCACCCATACAATTTTTCTTAAGTCCATAAAATTGGTCCATCCCATACAAATTAAATTCAAAGACATTATTTTTTTAATTTTATAGAAAATTTTTATTTTTTTATATTTGTTTTTTTTTCGATTTTCTTTTCTCATTTGTTTTCTTACTTTTTTCATTTTTCTTCGTCTTCTTCGTCATTTCAAAACTTATCAAAAATAATAATCTTAAACACGATGATGGTACAAAAAAAAATACTATACAACCAGAAAAACTAAAGTACTACAAATATAAGTCGGGAGTAATTTAATCAATAAATTATTAATAATAAGCAATTAAAGTAGTTACGATATAAATAAGAATTAGACTTATAACTTAAACACTTTCATATATATAAATATAAATCAGAATGCAAATAATACAAATACACAAAATGCTTCGGGCTTGATGTGTGACAAATGCTGTCAAATCAATTACTTTTTTTTTTGTTTAAATTACATTTAAGGGGGGAAATATTTACAGCAAAAAAGAGGGGGTGAAGAGAGAGGGGTTTTCCTTAATTAAATTATTTGTTTTGTTAATGGATTCAATTTCGCTTCTATTTTTTCTCAACAAAATTCAGTCTTTGTATTTATTATAATATTTATAATTATGTGAAGAAAAAAAAATCAATACAGTGGAACATGGTTACATGTGTTGTTATAAAAAACGTAGTATTTCCAATAAATTCGTTGTAGCCATGTTTTACTGTAATTGATTTTTTTGTAGTTAACCTAACATTTATCTTATTTATCTAATAAACTGGGCTTTAGGTTTCTCATGTGCCTTTCATGGGGTTTGAATGGCCTCAAACCCCACTGCTTCTTCTATATGTATGGGTGTATGTATTTCTATATATATGTATGTATGTGTGAATGATTTATGTTTCTATTTAATACTGCTAAGAATGTTCTTAAAAAGATCAGCAATGCTTTTTTTACAACTATTATTTATATATATTTTTTTTTAATTTATAATTCGACGTTTTGAAAATTTGAGCAATTATTTTTTTTTCATTTGCGGACGGTTAGCTTTTTCGAGTTTTAAGCAAACAAAGAAACAAAATTTAAAAATTAAACAATGAAACTTAAAATTAAATGCAAAAAAATAAATAATTTTGAACCAGCGCTTAGTTAATGAAGCGTTTCTCTTAAATAAAGATGTATGTATGTAGACCACACACACACACGTGAATGTATGTATGTATGTGGCTTATTATTAATTTACAGTGACATTTACAAAGTATGGCAAATTAATTTGTTGTCAAATACAAGACAAGCCAACGAACAACTCTTGTGGGTTTCAATTTCCATTTTGTTTCGCAAAAGTTTATTCGCAGCAAATCCTGTATTTTGAATACTACAAAGTATGTCGACGATCTAAACAGGCGGGAGGGAGTGGGGATGGCAAGCTGGGGGAATTATTGATACGGGGCAAGGAGGAGGAGGAGGAGAATATTTTATAAAAAAATATAATAATAAACACTACAACAAATAACAAGCCTTGCGCTCTTGGACACAAGGTCTCTTCTCGACATCGTTCGGCTTTGACATGGCCTTACAGACACGTGTGTATCGTCTTTTTCGTTCGACACAATTTACACTTGACTTCACAGCACCAGTGGAATGTACAGGCACAACGCTCCACCACGACCACCTCTTGGGTACGATAGCCACGGCCGCAGCACATCAGATCGCAGCCATCAACACCAATCGATGTGTCGTTGCACTGGCGTCCATGGGTGCCCTGAATGCCCAAACGCAGATTCTTTTCACAGAACGATGGTGAGGGCTCCAAGTAGACAATGTCCTTGGTGCCTGGTGGCTTGTGATCCGGATTGTGGGGTTTCAAAACAAAGGAATATCTAAAAAGACAAAGAAAATAAAAGAAGGGAAATTAGTAAAGGTATTTTGAAAAAGATTTTAAAATTTAGAAATTTAAAAAAAAAACAATAATATTTGAATATTATAAATTTAAAAAAAAAAACTGAAAATTTAAAATTTTTTACATTATTTTTAATTTTTCACAACTTTTAATTCTTGTTATAAAAAATCAAATTTATTTCAATTAAAATTTTCAATATTTTCATTGAAAAAATTGAAAAAATGAAAATTTAAAAAGAAAATTTTAATTAATTTAAAAAGAAAATTTTAATTTTTTTATAAAAAAATGAAAATATAGAAGATTTAAATTTTTTTTGAAATAAAACAAATTAAAAAATTGAAAATTTTAAAAGAAAATTTTACTATTTTTTTATAAAAATATGAAAATATTGAAAAATTTAATTTTAATTAAAATTAAATAAATTTAAAATATCCAAATTATTTCAATTAAAATTTCCAAATTAAAAAAAAATAATTTAAAAAAAATTGAAAATTTTAAAAAAAATTGAAAATGTTAAAAGAAAATTTTAGGTTTTTATATAAAAAATGAAAATATTGAAAACTTTAATTTTTTTTTAATAAAACAAATTAAAAAATTTAAAATTTTAAAAGAAAATGTTAATTTTTTTTTATAAAAATATGAAAATATTGAAAATTTTAATTTTAATTAAAATTAAATAATTTTAAAAAATCCAAATTATTTCAATTAAAATTTCCATTTTTTTTTTAATTTTTGCGGGGAGGAAATTAGTGAATGAATTGCGAACATGATTTGAAAATTGATAGATTTAAAAAAAAAACAAGACTATTTGAAAATTACAAATTACAATTTTAAATTATTTAAAAAACTATTAGTTTTTATTATTTTTTTAATAAAAAATCAAAAATTTTAATTTTTTTTATAAAAAATATTATTTTTTTTTAATTTTCCACTTTTTTAATTTTTTTATAAAAAATACAAATTATTACAGTTGAAATTTTCATTTTTTTTTTTTGTTACAAAAATCTATTTTTTTTTTAATTTTCACTTTTTCTTTTTTTAAAAAAATCCAAATTATTTTAAACGGAATGTTTAATCTCTTAAAAGACTTTTTTCTATAATTTTTTTCTTTTGAAATTTCCCACTCTTTTCTATTTTTTTATATAAATCCAAACTTTTTAATTTAATTTAATTTGAGTCATTGCATTTTTCTTTAATTTCTTTTTCATTTTTTTAAATTTTCTATTTGTTTTTAATGCAAATTATTTCAATTCAATTTTTTTTTAATTTTATATTATTTTAAAATTAACGAAAATTTAATAACACCTACTCCAAACATTTTTAATTAAAATTTTCAATTTTTTTCCAATTTAACGAAATATAAGTCATTTCAATTTTTTGTAATTTCTTTTTATATTTTTATAAATTTTCTATTTTTTATAAATAAACGAAAATTAAACAACACCTACCTATTGTTTTTACGCCCTTGCCGACCTTGACGACCACGCACACTGTTCCGCGACACACCGCTCTGATTGGGTAGACTATTTGGTGATGGCATATTTGGATGATGTTTGACGACATGTTCATCGTTGAGCCTGCGTTCCTCATCATAGGCATTGGGACTGGCGGCATTCGGAGATAAGGCATTGGGTGAGACACCCACAGCATTGGGACTGATATTTGAACCTCCCACAGCATTTGCACTGCCGCTGGCCCTTACACTATTGCTCATCATTACCCGGGAGGCACCATCGAAACGATCCTTGAGATTATCACCAATCACCCGGAAATTGGCCAAACGCATCCAGCAGGTTTTAACGGTACATGAGCCAGACATGCCGTGACATTTGCACTCTTGACGCATTTCAGCTTGCACATGCTATAAAGAGAGAGAGGGAAGAGAGAAGGGAAAAATTAGTAAAAAATGGAAAATAAGTTTATTCAGTTGTTTGTCCGTCTGTCTGTGTGTGTGTGCTGCAATTCATAATTTATGTGCTGGGCATTTTTGACATTTTATGGCGTATTAAAAGCCACCCTTCTGTGCATTAATATGTTTTCCACTTAATTATTTTTAGCTTTAAAACGCAAAGGTTTTTTTTGTTTGCTTCTCTGGTCCATGGCCACCAAGAGTTTTTAAATTGAGAGGATATATGATTCCTGTTGGCCATCATGGTCTCTGGGGGATTTTTTTATTTTTTTTTTTTTTTTTGTTTTTTGTAACCAAACATGATGATGATGATCAACATCTTGCCCAACATTTGCAACATTATTAAAAAGCAATAAATGTTTTGTAATACCAGCAAAAAGCCAAAGCCTGGCTTAAACACCCGCCATCTCCATGTAGCCACCATCAATAATAACCCACCACAACGGCCAACGATTGCCAATCGTGTCGAAAAAGGACCCAGCATGAGGTCACAATTCCTATATAAATCTATATATTGATGTTTTGCTGTTGATATTATTACAACGCACCACACAATGGTGCAACATACAACGGCAAGAAATCTGCTTTTTTGTTGTTGTTGTTGCTGTTGTTATTGGCTTTATTGGATTTTTCCCTGTGTGTGCTTTTGGGAAAGCAGAGCTTACGAGGTGGTCGCCTGACATTGCGTAGCCCCCACCACATGATGTTATGATATAAGCGTAACAAATGCCAGCTACAGAACCACCAACAACGTTAATGATAATCACCATCATCATCATGGTGATATTGACGATGATGATGATAATGACGACGACTCAATTTCTGGGCCCCAACAAGGAGTTGAGATGTTGTTGTTGTTTTTGCTCCAACCATTTTTAATGTAAAGCAAAACGATCTTTGTATTAATTGCTGCTGAATAAAGACATAAGCTTAAGAGGGGCAGCAGCATATATTTTGTGGGAATTTGCGCGGCTCAGTTGGCTGTCTTTGCATGTTGCAGTTTGTTGTTGTTCTTGTTCTTGTTGTTGTAATAAAAATTGAAATTTGTGTTGTTTTGTGGAGCAAACAGGCCAGCAAGCAAGCATTGAGGATTAGTAGCAAATTTATAGACAATTTTCTTTTACTAGCATTAATTGTGCCCACTAACATTAATGGTGTGCCATCGCGTGAAAAGGGGCTATTGGGGGGAAGGAGGGTGGATCAGATTAGTTGTTGATCTGTGTTGTTTGAATTTAGCTGTCAATAGTTTTTAATATATGATTGCATGTAAAGTTAACAACTTGGAGGAAATATTGATGTTCTTAAGGTGGTCTGGGGTGAAATGCAAAATGGACTAAGTCAAAAATTTTCAATTATGGAAAATATTTTTTTTTCTGTTTTGATAAAATAAACTTTAATTATAAATTTAAAACGTTTTGTAACAACTGTGGTGATAAACCTAAGAAAAAAAATTAAAAATTATCAGAAAAAAAAATATTTAACCCCACAAAGGGGTGAGAATTTTGAATATCCATTGAGCTCATAAAACGCGAAATTAGCATATAATTATTTTAAAACTTGACATAATACAATATTTCTATCAAGACAAGATCTGGTGTGAAAATGGTAGATATCGCTCTACCCCTTCTGGTACCTCCCCCACAACGGGTCAACATTTTGAAAAATTAAAACTCTCATAAAGTGCGAAATAACAATCCAAGTCTTTTCCAACTCGGCATAATACAATATTTCTATCAAGACAAGATCTGGTGTGAAGATGATAGATATCGCTCCACCCCTTCTGGTAACTCCCCCACAATGGGTCAACATTTTTGAAAAATTTAAACTCTCATAAAATGGGAAATAAGCATCCGATTATTTTTAAACTCGGCGTAATACAATATTTCTATCAAAACAATCTCTGATGTAAAAAATCGAAAATATTGGTCCACTCCTTCTGGTAGCTCCCCATACAATGGGTGAAAATTTTTGTAAAATTAAAAATCTCATAAATTGCGATATAAGCATCCGATTCTCTGGAAATGACAATATTTTTGTTAGTTACAGATCTGCAATGAAAATGGAGTATATCGGTCTAGTCCTTCTCGTACCTCCCACGTACTGGGTCAAAATTTTTGAAAAATTAAAATTCTCATAAAATTCGAAATAAGCATTCAACTCTCTTCAAATTTTACACATCTCAATATTTTTACTAACACAAGATCTGATGTGAAGATGGGATATATCGGTCTAGTCCTTCCGGTACCTCCCCCACAAAGTGGTTAAAATTTTAAATAACCAAAACGCTCATAAAACGGGAAATAAGCTTAAAATTTTGCACATCTCAATATTTTTATTAGCAAAAGATCTGATGTGAAGGTGATATATATCGGCCTAATCCTTCTACTACCTCCCCCACAAAGGGACCTCCATTTCCTATATTTATATCTCTGACATCCCAATATTTTTATTTTAAATATTTTTTTTATATTCAATTACTTAGCCCACTTTGCATTTTATTTCCCTATAACATTGTGAATGGCGAAAAAAATAACAACCCACATTAGGTAGTCCCCCTCTCTCAAAACACTGCGGGAGTTTCAATACTTTGCTGTAGATTTTTCTATTTAAGCTAAATGATCAAATGCCCATAAATCGACCACAAAATTGCAATCTAAGGAAGCTCATCAGCGACAGCAGGAGCAGAAGCAGAAGAAAAAAATAACATAAAACCACACACAACGTTGTGGGCTAACAACAAATCGCGAAACGATCTTTCTTCAGGCCTTGCCTTAGAGAACAGCCGAGTCATTTGTCTTGACATTAGATTCACAATATTTTATGATCTAATAATGACGACGGCGACTCGGCTTGATTGCCAAAAGTCATAAAAAAACGTCTTACAGCCACATAAATTATTAACTACTTGTAAATTTGTTACCACTACCACTACAGCTACTGCCACTTACCGCTCTTCCTGCCTCATTGTTGTGCAAATTCATTTTCTCTCGCAAATTGCGGCCACGTTCACCGGTATCCACAAATTCACGTGAGAATTTGAAACCGAAACCAATGTTATCGGAACAGCCACCCCATTCCCAGTCGCGTACACCGGCCACACTGCCAGCCTGGGCATTGGCCTGGGGTGAGCGCGTCTGATGGCTATAGTCACAGGTGCAAGACTCAATGGAACCCTCGCTGCAGGCGCGGGCAATGGAATGGGTGACGGCGGCACTGGTTATGGCATAAATGAAACCAGTTTCACGGCATCCTGGAAAAAATAGAAAAAAAGGGAGAAAAAAAACAAATTAATATTGTTAAAAAAAAAACATTAAAAAATGGAAAAAAAGTTTACAGCAATGATTGAAATTTGTCTTGAATTATTTGCCACCCATTAAGCCAGATTTTTCAAAATTTTATAAATAAAAATAATCTTTATCATCATCTTTATGAGTAATAACACTTGTCATGAGCTGGACTATTTGTCAAGTCAAGACTAGATGCCTTTTGAAAATGTCGAAGAGAGAGAGAGAGAGAAAGAGAATGGGGAGCTATGGAAGGGAGTTGGTTTCCCATGTTTCTACATGGCTGGTCAATTATGACACTTCAAGTAATCACTGCCACCAAATGTTGTTCACTCATATTTTATGACAATGAAGATGATCTTGATTATCAAGTGGTCCGCCATCCACAAGAGCTACCAAACCAGCCAAGATCCATTCAAACTATTTATCTCTCTATGGGCAAAAGGATTAAACAATGAAAATTGACTTTTTATGTTTCTTGTGATTGTTCTTTTGTTATTGTCTGTGTATTGTTGTGCATATCGTGTTGCATTGTAGCTCTTCAAGTGGCCAAGATCTGGGAGTTATCAGATGTTCTCAAGAGAAGCAAGAACAGAAGCCAGCAGTGATTTAGTTGACATTCTATGAGACATGTCAGGCCATATTTTATGGCAAATGTTAGGTAAATTTTGAACAAAAAAATTATCTTCTTAAAAAATCAAAGGAAAAAAATCGAACAAAAATCCTGGAGAAGGCTTTATGTAAATCCTTATCCTTCTTTTCATTTTTGGAAATAAATCCCAACATGTGCAATAAATTCCATGGCCAATAATTATGAGAGCGTGTGTGTCCGAGTTGAGTGTGGGAGATTTATTTAAATTTAAATCCCTGAGAATGTTAATCAGTCAGCCCAGGCAAAATTCAAAATCCAAAAAAAATACGGAGTCCTTGTCTCAAACAAAAGGGTCAATGGAAACGCAAAAGTAGATGCTCTCGATTGAAAAAGCAATTGTCTTTACACAAACAACACTCAAGGGTGCTCAAACAAAACCCTTCAAATAATTCAACTCAACGATCTGCCCAAAGAAAGAAAGACTGAACAACAAAAAAGATCAATTTCATATTGCACAATACAAGGATTTGTAAGGATCTTGAAAAAAAAGGGATCATTATTAAGACCCAATTCAATTCAAAATCAAACTGACCACGCCTCTTCGGGAACGGAAATCCGTTTGGTGGCAATTGAAAAAATATTAAAGAGATCAAATTTCCAAAAATTCAAAAAAAAAAAACTCAGCAACGGAAGAAGGCGATATTTTCAACAACTGAAGATGTTTTCTTCTTTTTTTTCTTCTTGCGTTTTTTTTTTTTTTGGTGTTTTAGGCAATGATGATTCACTTAACATACTTGTGATCGTTTCTTATCTTAACACAAAATCAAGCGAGTCTTACACACATCTATATATATTTTTCATATAAAAATATACTTTTTTTGTTAAACACTTCTTTTTAACGCACCCATATTTGTCTGGTTGGAGTATTTCAACTGTTTTGGCAATACCAACGCCCTTCTTTTTTTTTTTTTTTTTTGGTGTTGATTTAATGTTGTTAACTGATAACGAACAACAAACGTTGAAATAAAAAAAATCATTATGAAATTGTGTCCAAAATGTAAAACAACTCATAATTTGTTCTCCAAGTCTCCGGCCAAGGCGTGCAGGTATTTTCATACCGCACTTCAAGTGAATAGGTGTTACAGACCCAATTTCCATTCAATTTAGAAGACATTAAGTAAATAAAAATTACATGAAATTCTTATGCCTTATATCTATAGATTTCCTCTACACCTCCTGGGTGTTCTCCCGCTCGCGCGGCTATTTTAAATATTTACATTTTTGTTGTGAGGTTTGATTTCGGGCGAAATTTGTGGTTTTCTAATATTTGTGTGTGAAATGATAGGAATTTCTTCCAGGTTTACCTTAACCTTAGAGTAAACATTTAACTGGAATTTTGTGAGGAAAGTGAAAAGAAAACCCACGCCAAAAAATAAGTACCCTAATTTCCTGGTTTTCTCAAATCTGGAGTATTACATTTCCTGTTTATGGGCAAGTGTGAGATGACAGAAATCCCACTCTCATATGGGAATGACATTTCATCAATTGACACCACCAAACAAAATAATCACAAATTTTGAGTCATTAATCATGAGTAAAATGTCGAAGAAATGAAGAAAAAAATTAAGAATTTTCCACCAAAAATATCGCTTGAAAATTTAGAATTAAAAAATAATGTCAACAAAAAAATCTTTTAAAAAATAAGTAAAAGTCGGTTTTGCCGAATGATATAAAATTTTGAAATGTATGAAGTTTAAAAAGAATCACATGCCTATTTCGTATTTTATGAGCATTTCGGTTATTAAAAAATTTCGACCCCTTTGTGGGGGAGGCACCAGAAGGGGTAAATCGATATATTCCATCTTCACACCAGATCTTGTGTTGATAGAAATATTAAGAAAAAGCGAGTATTAAAGACATTGGATTTTTCTTACGCATTTTATGATAGTTACAATTATTCGAATTTTTTAAACCGCTGTGGGGAGGTGCTAGAAGGAGTGGGTCGATATATTCCATATTCACACGAGATCTTGTGCTAATGGAAATATTGGGATGAGTGAAATTTGAAGAGAACCAGGTGTTTATTTCGCCTTTTATGAGAGTTAAAATTATTAGAAATTTTTGACCCCTTGTGGGGGAGGTACCAGAAGGGGTGAGCCGATATATTTCATATTCATACCAGATCTTGTGCTAATGGAAATATTGGGATGTGTGAAATTTGAAGAGGATAGGATGTTTATTTCACGATTTTATGAGAGTTACAATTATTCAAAAATTTTGACTCGTTGTGGGGCAGGTACTAAAAAGAGGGGGCCGATGCATTCCATCTTTACACCAGGTCTTGTGTTAAGCGAAATATTGTCATGTGTGAAATTTGAAGTGAATCGGATGCTTATTTCAATTATGCAAAATTTTTACCCCTTTGTGGGGGTCTTAAACCATTATTTCGATGAGGCACATTTTGACCTTAGACATATGGCTGAGGGTAGGAAAATAAACCAAAATACTCAAATTTCATAATTATTTTTGATTTCCGGGAAAACATTTTTTGGGGTATTTTCAAAACTTAAATCACTTTTTTCATTGGCCCTGGACTTGCTCTCATTTTCCCCCCATATGTTTTATTCAAACTGACCCTTTTCTGCCCTGACCCTGGCCCCTTGCTGCTGTTCTTCATTCTGGTCTCCTTCTTATCGCACTCTGTTCTCTTATGATATAAAATAACATAATGCACATCTGTCTTTCGATTTATGCCACACATCGATCTTTTGATGGATTTTTATGAATGAGTGTCTTTGTGTGTTTTGTTTTTTTTTTTTTTTTTTTTGGTCTTTGGTTTTGCAATTTTCCAGAGAACGCTCATAAACTTGAAATGTGTGGCATATAGTATTTTTTCGTATTTGTTTTTGTTGTTTTCGTATTGTTGCAAATTTAGGCTTATTTGTGGTGGGCCCACCGATTACTTGTTGTTGTATTGACACAATGACAGCCTGTCAAGTGTTGTGTTAATTAAATAAGACATTTTTATATGAAACGAAGAGATATTTTCAAAACAAAAACAAAGGAGATGAAGGAAACTGAAACCCCGTAAAAGGGTTTGTAACAAGTCAAAAATAAACAACAATAATAACAACAAGGAGTTATCAATCATTTTTTTGAATTGGAAAGAAAATATGCAAAAAATATTACCCAGGGAAAGGGGAAGTGCTACCTTATGTCAAAAGGGCCCCTTGAAGAGCCATTGTTTCTCAACAATTTTCAAATAATAATAGAGTTGTCATGAAAAACATATTTCTCTGACAATCTGTTTCCAAAAGGTTATGCGCATGCCCAGAACACTTGAGGGTTTTTATGATCAGGCCATACTTTTTTGTCTCTTAAATGAAAGAGGGAATGTGTGTGCGCGAGCTAAACTCACGCCTGCCTAACAAAAATTATTACAACTACCTGTGTAAGGCATAGTTCTTGTTCTTCTTCTTGATTTTTATTGTTATTATTATCAATAACAATTTGGGGTTTTTTATTTAGTTTCCCCTGGCTGGCTTGGCTGAATGAAGCCTTCAAATGTGAATGAAATCAAACGATCATCACATCATATGAAGGCGATAACAGCCAAAACCCAACAAAAAGAGACAATAACATAAAAAGTCCATAAACTCCAATTTTTATAACTTGTCAAGTAGTGCTGTTTGTTATCAGGCCCACAAAAACCATGAATTCAGGTGATTGATTTTTTTTATTAATTTTTTTCGTATTTAAAAATAACGAAAGAAAATCGTTAAGGGAAAGCAAAATTTATGAGTTCTGATTTTGAAATTTTTATGGCCGGTGTTGAATAAATATCTGTTTTGTGTTAATGAAAAAATTCCGGTGAGAGAGAGAGAGGGGGAGTTTATGTGATTTTGTTACGATAATTAACACCTTTTAAAAAACAATTAACACCAAAAAGGAGACATTAAATGCCATAACCAGCCAGCCAGCCAACAAACCTCTAGAAAAAGAGAAATCACCATTAAATGTCTTTATTTGTTACGTTTTTTTGCTTGGTAATTCTGGAGAGCAGAGGTCCTTGCTTTCATTCGTTTTCATGTCGAAGCCAGCAGGACATTTTTGCTGGCCACTTTTGTCTTTGGGGTGTGATCCTTTTTCGGCTTTACAATTTGCTATGCCTCGGACCGTTGTGCAAAACGTTTCAGGTGACATGATTACAAGAGGCTCTTTTGATGGCTCAATTTCTCTTTTTTCGAAAATTTGCCAAAACCATTAATTTTCTTTTTTTTTCCTTTTTGTAATGATTTATTTTTTTCTCTCTCGCTGCAGAGATTACAAATCATGTTATGTGTGTTGCCTCTGTAGGCGTTGAGTTTTGTGGTAAATTTGATGAAAGCCAAAGAAAATTATTCTACCGGTGGCATGACCAATTGGCTTACGGGGTAAAGGGATTTTCAAGGGAAAATGGGATTCAGGGAATTTTTTGGAATCATTTGAATATGATTTGAAAGATTTTTGGATTTGAAATAAGGCTTAATAGTATTCACGGTGGTTTTGAGAGGATCCAAGACAAATAAAAAAAATTAACATTTGGAACAATTCTAGAATTGTAATCAAATTTTTAAGATTTTCAATTTTTTTTATTTTGTTTTAAAAAATATTCCTTTATGTCCTTTCTTTTACAAAAAAAAATAATTGAAGAAAAGCGCCAATTGGAGCCAATAAAAAATATTGGGAATATTGGATTCATGAAAATAAATCTAATTTTTAAAACTTCATTTTTTTCAATTTTTTTAAAATATTTCAAATTTTTAAATAAGGCTATTTTTTCCAATTTTTTCAAACATTTATTTTTCTCAAAATTTTCAATTTTTTTCGAAATTCTAGAATTTTAATTTTTTAAAATATTTAAAAATTTCAAATCTTTCAATTTTTTAAAAATGTTATTTTTTCCAATTTTCAAAACCTTTATTTTTTCATAAATTTTTTTTCGTAATATTCACATTTTCAAAGTTTTAAAATTTTCAATGTTTTTAAGAAAAGAGTCCTGTATATCCTTCCATTCACAGAAGACCAAAAATATCTCAAACCACCACACCCTGCGTTTTTTTCCTTTCTTTCCTTCTCTCCCCCTCAGAAACCCTGAGACGAAAAAGATGTTTAAACACTTGTCATTATTTGGTTTATGGTTGAGGGCATTCAAAAAAAAAAATGGGAAAACAACTTAACATGTTATCCTTTTAAATGGCCAGGGCAGACACATAAAACGGACGGACGGACGGACAGACAGTCATAGAAACAGATACCCCATTGTATAATAAACATGTAGATATGCATGTATTAATTTGGTTACTTCTTTTTTAGATCATATTACAAAACAAGCCAGGGCACTTGACTCATGGAGGAAATATAACAACAACGAAAACAACAACCACAGACATCAGTTATCTCTTACAAATAAAAGAAGAAAATAAAAACAACAACAAGGCAACACTTGGACACACTATCCTTTTTGAATGGGGGGAACAACCCATTTTTTTTTTTTTTTGGAAATGGAATATGAACAACAACATTTTCAAGCGCCACTTGTTTTATAAACAGCTACAAAAACAACAACAACAATGTGTCTCCAATTACCAAGTGTGGGAAAACTATATGTTTATATTTTAGGACTTACCTCTATCCACAATTTTTCCAAATAGATTTTTGCCTCTTAGAAAATTACGCGTTGAACAATTCCAACGACGATTTCTAAATTGATGCTGGCATTCGCTAATAGCCAAATTGGCTCCCTTCACCAAGGCACCCAAGACCCCAGGATTGTCACGCACCAGACGACGTTGTTTGCGTCGCAATGTGGTGTGTATGGCCGGATCGACATACATGATACCCGAACTAATGGGTGAAATATTGTTGGGTTCGCCCACCTTGGCAATGCCCCTGGAAGAGAAAAACAAAAACGAAAAAGTTTTAAGAAAAATGAAAAATTTTTAGAAAATGTGTTTATGCTTCAATAAGAAAAAGGGGGAGGGGAGAGGGAAAGGGAAAATAACATTACAAGTCATGCAGAAATAGGGGAAAATTATAGGAAATTATTAACAATAAAAAAGAAACGAATTAGAATATTTTAATAATTACAATAATAATGTGAGAAAAAGAAAATAATTGGAGGGAGAGAGGGAGATCATAAATGTAAGGGGAGGGCTTTGGAGCCTCCAACTTTGAGGGAATAAAACTTATTTGGCTTCTTATTAATCCCTTTGTCTAAGAGTCTTTTTAATCCCCTTTTTTTCCTCAAAATTTATTTCAGATATTTTTTTTTTTACAAAATTGACAGAGGCTCTTTTCGAATTTATTTTTAAATAAATGATTACATTTTTTTTTTTTTATTTTTATAAAACCTAATTTTAAATTAAATTTAAAAATATTAGATTCAATACTGCTGTTTCCATATCTCCTTAATTAATTTTTTTTTTAATTTCCAAACTAGTGGAGATTTTGTTTATAGTTGGCAAAATGTATTGCAATTATTTTTATTTTTTTTTTAATTTTACAAAATTTGATTTTCAATGAAATTTAAAAATATTGTCTTCAAATTTCCTCTTTCCATATCTCTCTCATTTGTTATTTAATTTTATATATTTTTTTCTTAATTTCCAAACTAGTGGAAAATTTATTTCTAGTTGGCCACACACATTGATTTGTGTTTATGTCTTGCAATTAATTATTTATTGAAAATAAAATAAGAAAAAAAAAACGCCACTGTAATTTATGCCCGCCGCCAAACTTCTGTCCATTGTGGTGAACGTTTAACTATTCACAAAACCCCCAAAGCCTGCCAGCCAGCCAGCCGAAGACAGCAGGCTGTCAATAAGCATTTTTACAATTCTTGATTATTTTACGTTTATTGCCACAATGAAATGTATGTTACGGCATACGGATTGACACGCTTACGAAACATAACGAACATTACTCGTCTGGTCTACAAAACAACAATGAGGCAAAAATTAATACTCCAGGGAAATGGTATACAATTCATGATAGTCTAAGAGAGAGAGAGGAACACTGGCCAAAGGAATATATTAGCAATGGAGGTTATTGAGGAGGCTCAGAGAAAAAGAGAAGTTTTTTTTGCTTTGAGTTTCCTGGGGGTCAAAAGGTTTTGTTACCTCTGGCTTAAATGAACTGTTTTAATCTCTAGATCGTCAAAAAAAAAATTAGTTCACATTTTCCCTGAACTCTAGGGCAAAGAAATAAAACCAAACTTGTTTTTTTTTTTTTGTTCATTTCATTTTAGTTGAATATCATGTGCCACATATAAAAAGAAAGCTTTTAATTTTCTTGGGTTTTGTTTTGCCTTTTGTTTTACATTAAAACCCAAAACGTTAATAGAATTTTTAATTAAACTAAAAAAAAAACTCAACTCAACACAACATTTCATAACATCTTCATAAAGAGCCACAAAACAATGACAGCTTCCTACCAAAAACCCAACAGCAACAACAACAACAAGAAAAACAAACCAAAAAAGCTGTAAAAGTCACACGTTTCTTGGCCTCTTCTTTTCTTTTGGGGTTTTTGTTGTCATCTTCATGATCTCCATTGTTTCAACCGCTCGCTTTTAATGATCATGTTTCATGGCGTGCGCTTACAAATGTTTGTTTTTTGTTACTTCTTTTTTGGGTTTTATTTTTAGATTTAAATTTGCTGTTTGGCTTAATTTCCAGCGTGTTACTCTCTAGCATTTTGTTTATTTGTTCATTTAGACGGAAGTGCTAATTTTTAAAGGAAAAATAAATCAATTTTTTCCCACACACCACAAATAAAGGCAGCAGCTTTTGATGGCCAATGAAGTTATTAAATAATGTGTGTGCGGGTTTTTTGGAAGGGGGGATGAACTTGGGATGAAAATTTTTGAAGATTACAAAATATTTGTTTATTATTGTTTGGGAGACTCAGAAAAACATTTTTATTTATTTGAAAATTTTGATGATATTGTTCATATTGACAAGAAAACAAAGAACACAACAACACATGTAGTATATCGAAAAGCCCCATCAGGTGCAAATCCAAATCGATTTCGTTTTTGAAATAATGCCATACAGTTCTGCAAAAAAATTACCTTTGGTTTTTTCCATCCTTCGTGCTATTATGTATTTAAAAAAACCCTAAATACTATCCGATGACCCTCCAAAACATTAGTTTTCAGCCCTATCCTAAACTCTAACCTCATGCGAAATTCCGCGTCGATTGGAGATTTTTAAAATTTGGTCTATTTCTCAACCTCTTTTTCAAAAGCAATGGCCTTATATTCTGACCCTAACTCAACCCTCATAAAAAATGTTGTGAGGAAAAATTGCAAATAAAAATATATTTCTTTTCGATTTGTAAAAATCGGCTATTGGAAATTTTTGAATATTCGAAAAGAAATTCTCGCTAAAATTTTTGTAGCTTTATTCTTTGACACAAAAAAATTTTCAATTTTTTTTCATTTTTTTTAATCCAAATTCTATTTTTATTTAGCCCTTAACTTAGCCTACATAATTCATAACTCTCCTTTTCATTAATTTTCTTTATTTTATTTTTATTCCAAAAAAAAAAAGACTTAAGCAACAAACCCTGGCATTTCTGACCAAACAAAACAAAAGACTTAAGACACAAGAGTACCCCACCAAACGAAAGCCCTTCATGGCATTGTTTTTGCCAAAGAGGCACTGTAATACACTCTTTACTCATGAGAGCCCTTAAAATCATTACTTATATTAAAATTCTATAAAATTTCAAATTTGGTCAAAAAAATAATTTAAAAAATTCCAACTTACCACCACATGGAACCTCTCCCCCGACCAGGTTTGTGGGTCTTTTCACAGCTAACTTGGGTAATGGTTAGATACATAACCACCCAGTGTAAAATACAACTTAATAATGCTGATAAATCCATTTTTATTGTGTGTTTGTGTGTCTGGGTGTCTTTTTTTTAATAAGACAAGTCTTCCTCTTCAATAACTTGGACACTTGCAGCCTTTGGCCACAATTCGGTTTATTTTTATTTTTGATTTTTTTCTTTTTTATTTGTTTTTATTTAAACAAGCAATAAGAAGGGCTTTGTTCGAAACTTGTAAATTTGTATGGCAAACAACAGTTTTAATATGATTTAATTTCTTGAATAAATTCAGAGTAATTTCACGTTCAATTTGCACCAAAAAACACAGAATTTATGTTAATAATTTCCAGAGGCGGAAATACAACACCACGCATGCACACATTCATTCACCATGGATAGGCTCTAAGTAAACAACACTTTTTTCGATTATTTTTTGCATGGTATTATGACTATTTTGTTTGGTGTTTGGTCAGGCCGTCGGTTATGATATTTTATTTTCCAAACTAGTTAGGTATTTCACAATTCTATTTTAGTTTTGCTGTATTCTGCCGGTATTTTCACTTGTTCTAATTTCATTTCATTATTATTTTTTTCTCAAACATGTTCTAGTTATGCATTTTACAAACTTAGAACCGATAGAATAATAATTATTATTATTGGCAATAGTATTGTTAATAATTTGTTTTATTAGTCACACGAGAAACACACGACGCAAATTTGTAGCTATATTTTTTTCTGTTTGTTTCTTAGATTTGTTTCAGTTCATGTGCAATAATATTTTGCTGTTGTGTTACCCGGTTCAGTGCTAACAGTAAACTGATTGTGTTCAAGTTCTTTTGCTACACTTCAATATCTGTCGTTTCATGTTTTGTTATGTTCATCATGATGATCATCACACAGAGCAGAGCACAGCACCACCATCGTCGTAGTCGTTGTTGGCGGCGTAGTTGTAGTCGTAGTCGCACAACTCATCTCACACATGTTGTTGTTATTGTTGCTATATTGTTGTATGCATATTGTTTCGTTTGTGTGACTGTGTGTTACACCGATGATCATGATCGTCGTTGTCGTCGTCGAAGTCGTAGTCATAGTCGTCCCCTTTAACTTAAATAAAACAAACACACACACGCACATCCACACAGAGTGTCTCTGGCCAACAACATAAGATAGCGGGCGTATACCAACAACATTGATATTACCTATCAGAGAGGCGAGAGTATGTTGTTATGGGCCACAGAGAGTATTAACGCCTACTCTATTGTTGGCCTAAGGAGGGAAAGAGATAAATATAGTTTCATATGAAAGAGAAGCAAACAAAGAGTAATGATATTAGCACTACTCTCTCCGTTTACTCAGTTATATACTTTGCTCAAGTATATAAAGACTTTTTGCTCTCTCTCTCAACGACAGCCAATGGCCAATAAGAAAAGATTAACTATTTTGATCATAAAGGTAATAAAATGATCGCTTTATTTTAATTAATAAATAAAATAGAAATTATTTATTATTGATTTAATAATTGAATGAATATAAATTTAATACATAACTATTTTTAATAAAAAAAATTAAGTGTTTTAATTATTTTCATTATTTTAAACTTTAAATGCAAACCAACTCTCTTTGCTCTATCGCATTTTTTCGGAGTTAATTTTTTTTTTCACACAATTTTTTTTTCGGAGTTCTCACCTTTGTTGTGGACACAACCATCCCACTTACCCATACAACCTCACAAACATTTTATATAAAAAACTTAAAAAATACATTTGTGTGTGTGTTGGAACTTCTTGAACGTTTTCGTTTTCTCTCTTACTCTTCATTGCTGAAACAAAACTACACTGCTACATAAAACTAATTGGATTTTTTAACTTCTCCTTTCCTTGTCTTTTCGGAAAAAAGCTCGCTCTCTTTCACTCTTTCACACTAGGTTAGCACATTGTCGTTTAGCAAAAGATTTCATAGCCATTCATTCGACTAACCTTTCTTATGTACTACAATTCATTAATAAATACCCAAATACCTTTTGTTCTACAAAAAATAAAGAAAAAAAACACTTTAAATTGACTCCTAAACATGTCTTCATTGGGGGCAATTAACAATGAAAGGTAATTTTAATTAGGCTCTTCTTTTTCTTATAATATTGAGCTTTTTTCATGCATTTACCTATGGGTATTTTCATATGAATGAACATGTGAATGTTGCTACGAGTTTCCAACCAAGAGTTGTGGTTTTAAAATTAGTTGTAATCAACTTCAGAATTCCATGTTAAAATGTAGAATTTTCTAAATATCAATTATTAACGAAGTTGGATAATTTTATTGTCATAGATAATTATTTTTTCTTACACTAAATAAATGTCTGATGGAGATTTGTATTTCTGATATGAGATCATAGTCGTACTTGATGAAATATGAATCACAGATCCAGATTTTATTTGAAATAAGTAATGAAGTTATATCAATTGGAAACTGTGATTTATTTACCCCAATATTAATCTGAAAAGGGTTTTTGGATAAATTCAGATAGACAGACAATTAATTTTTGCTAATATCAATACAAGTATTTTGTGAGTATTGAGTTGATGTTAAGAAAATATAAAAACCATCTGAAGTTACATTTATGTGAATTTTTTATTTAAAAAGTTTTTTATTAGAACAGTTTTGACATTATTTTTGGGGATGTCATAGTTATATTGTTGTTTTAAAATAATCATGCTTAATAGTTAAAAAAATCATTAAAAAATTGAGGATAAACGCTTGATTCTTAAAATGACCAATAACACATTAAAAAAGTTGTTTTGATTATTGAATAATTTTTCATAGCCTAAAAAACTTAGAACAAATAACGAAAAAAAATTAATACAATGACAGATTTTTCACAATATCGAGTTTTAAATACAATAAGGATCATCATCTTACTTAAAATTTTCTTAAAAAATGAGAAAATAATTTTTTTACATTTTATTATAGTGTAAAATACAATTTAACGAAGACAATCAGACAAAATTGACTTTTTTCGACAGAAAGTCTTTGCAATATTTATAATATTTAATTTTTGATTAGATCAATTTGTTCCAGGAGTTTTTTTTTTGGAATAATATCAGACGTACAAGTCAACAATTAGTTATCGTTAAAATGCTCTTAAAAATACATTGCTCTTACAGGGAAGTCCTTAATAAATAGTTATACTGGCCCAATTTACTATACCCTTTAGTATACGTTTTAAATTGTTGATTCTAAAAATATTTTAAAGAAAATATATTTTTTAGCATTTACTTTGAATTATTATTAAAAAAACCCCTGATGTTTGTATTCGGAGTCCTTGTAAAAAATATTAAAAAAAAATATCTGCCAGAAAGTTTTTCCCAACAAAAAACTTTGTTGAGAAATCCATGATCAAAATATAGCCGATAAGACCTTCAAAAAATATATTTGAAATATACAATTATTGTCCAGAAACTAATCAAATCAAAGATATAAAGATGCTAAAATATTGTCGAAGTCGTTCATACTAGACGACATTCAGTTTTTTCTTTTCAAAAGGTTGACCTTTTGTGTTGCAGAAGATAATAAACAATGTATTTGTATCAAATCTTGAAGTAGGATGTAATAAATTCTATGATATTCGAACTTTGGGTAGATTCGAAAAGTTATTTTACTCAACATAGTATTGTCGCCTCATAAAATTGAGCTTGGCATAGGCATACAGTCAGAATAAAAGTCTATTGTATTTGGAGATAATCGCAAATTATTTATGGATTTAAATGGACCAAAAACAGAAAAATGTCCTTATCTCACAGTTGTTCTACCCGTCACAATTTCGCATAAGGAAAGAGTTTAAAAGAGGACAAAAGCCTAGCATTTTGAATAGACTTCGGATTTAGCGTTAAAAAAACCACAATTTTTAAGTGAAAAATATCAAAATTTCCATTGAACCGAGAATATTTTTTTTTGAAAATTTTCAACAATTAAGAATGGCCTGATGGCAGAATATATAAAATCTAACAAAATCGTGTAAACGTAAGCCATTAAAAGTTTTGTTACATTTTTTTATTTTTATCATATTTTTTATAGCATGAAGTTTTTTTTTCAATATGACTTACAATATTAGTTGAATATTTTGAAATACTTTTTTTACGGCCAAGAACACTAAGTGTTGGGAGTATTATATACTGGCCGCAATTATCGTCCGATCCTCACGAAAATTTTTATGATTATTATTAAATGTTGCAAATTTTTGAAAAACTCAAAATTTTTCTGATTTGCAGTCGTACAGGTTACAGTTAAAGACCAATTGACACGGACTATGAAGCTGGAGTTTAAAACAGGGCAGGACTTTGGATGGACTTCGGATAATATTTAGCTGATAAAATTAACCATAACTTTTGGGTGAAACTTTTTAATATTTATCAGCACCCAAAAGCCAAATGTAACATTTTGCAGGACTGTATGACATTATTTCAAAAATGAAATCGACCAAATGAATTTGGACCTTCTGGGGTTTTCCAATATGTTTTAGTGGTATAAAGTTTCAAATGGCGACCTTGTACGACTATAGCCTTTGCTTTCTTAAAGAAAAAGCGTGATCTTCATGTACAATTTTAGAGCGAATGTCTTCCACCCACAATAAAGCCAATCCTAATCAAGTGTTGTAGGGTATCACATGTTCGGCAAAGAACGACTACAACGACCCCCTTGCTTACTTGTTTTATCAAAATGTCAGTTAGAAAGGAAGGTACCAGAAGAAGAAACCGTGATCTAATTCAGGGGTCAAGTTCACCTACCAGTTTTTTTTTTCGTGTATTTTTTTCGAATGATAAATTCGAGTGGATGAAAGAGATGAACCAATATATTCCATTTTGACATGGAATTTTAAATGGACAATGAAAATTCCATGAAAATTTGGATGAATATTTTCTATGTATACCTGTCAAATGTCCTGAATGGATTTTTTTCCCAAAGACGCAAAGAAATTTCACACTCTGTTTAATTATTCCACTATTTAGTTTTACTTTTCATTTTTAACACAAATTCATGGGAGACAAAACGTTTTCTCTTTTACGATGATTGGATTCTGTTTAAGAAATATTTCTATTGGGATTGACTTAGTTCCGCCAAAGCAACCTAAATTCGAGTATTTATATATTGATATTTTGGCAAATTAAATGAAAACTTGCCTCACAAGGCTTTAACAAATTCCAATTCGGTATATTTATTTTTCAATCAAACGTTTTGAGCCTTGACGTCCAATGTAATTTTTCGAATTATTTCGATTTTCGTTTTTAACTTTGAAGTTTTTAACTTTGAAGTAATATATTGAAGTAATATGCGTATATGTATAGATATTTTTTTGGAAATAAAAGAATTTAGAAAATCCGTATAATGAGAATTACTTTTCCAACACTTCAAATGAAAAAGTTAATTGTTTTTTTTTTTTTTGGGACCCCCGAAAGCATTTTGAAATGCAATTCTGTATTCGCCACTGGTTAAACCAGTATATTTTCATATTTTCAGTTGTGACTGTTATATTTTCAGGGAGAAGAAAGAAATTTTTCTAACTCGTAAAGGGAGGTCTGGTTTTCGATTATTTAATTTTGTTGAATAAATACAATACAGTTTTGAGATTTAAATATTCCCATTTAAACTATTGACTCGTTTATGGGAATATTTAAATCCCAATTTCCAAATTCTAATTTACACCAAAAAACATTTTTTTTAATTTTTATTTTAGTTCTGTTGTTAAAATAATTTCAAATTTTTTGATAAAAATGTGTCTAAAAATTTTAAATTATTAATTTTCAAAACTCTAATTTTTTAGTTTGTATTATGTCTAAAAAATTCAATTTTTTTCCCGATGAGTCATACATACACTGCCTTTTTCACAGAAGCAGGGAAATAAATGCCTTTCTTCTATTTAAATAAAAATCTGCGACAATTCCGATAATTTTATTTTGTAATATGTTTATTTGACTGGCTCGGAAGCTTCTATATTCTTTTTATAT